CAAATGTTGGTTTTGATTATCGTTTACAAATATAGTCATTAGTTTTATGAAAGGCATACCATTTCTGGTAGCTTGAAGAAACTGAACTTCAGGTGTAGGATGTTATGTTTATGGGGTAAGGAGTGAGGGTATGGGGTTAATCTGACTTAGTAACTTTAGAGAGCTCTAATCAATAGATGGGTAATTTATGGAAGAATGTATAGATTCAAATTCCTATCTGTATTTATAAGATTACCCTAAATATATGAAATGCTTCATGAATTTGCATGTCATCCTTGTGCAGGGGACATGCTAATCTTCTCTGTATCATTCCAATTTTAGTATATGTGCAGCCTAAGTTAGCACTTTTCTCCCATTCTTTAGGTTATCTCTGTACTCAGTTGATGGTTTTATTTTCTGGGCAAAAGCTTTTTAGTTTGATGGAACTCCATTTGTCTATTTTTCATTTTGTTTCTTCTGCTTTGGGGGTCTTGTCCAAAAAATAATTACTCATTCCAATGTCCTAAAGCATTTCCTCTGTTTTCTTCTAGTAGTTTCAGATTTTATAAAGTCTTTAATCCATTTTGAATTAATTTTTGTAACTTGTGAAAAATGGTTCAGTTTAATTTTTCTGTATATACATATCCAACTTTCCCACTACCATTTATTTAAAAGACTGTCCTTTCTCTTACAAGCGTTCTTAGAATCTTCACTGACAATAATTTAGGTGTATTCTAAAATTAACATTTGGAAATACCATTCCATTGTGTTCTGTTCTTTATTGCAGTTATATATACGTTCACTCTATTGTTTCTTTTGTAGGTAATATTTTTGTCTATAGTAAATATTATATTTTTCTTTGTTTTGTTACATATAGTTTTTCTGATATTTACAGGTATGAATTTATTTACACAGCCAAAACTGGAGGTTCTTAAAATGATTTTGGTATCTTTGATAAGTTCTGGAAAATTCTAATATATACTCTTTGAATATTAGACTCTCTCTTTTTAAAACTCCTTTCATACATAAGTTGGAACTTATTATTCAATCCTAAGTGTTTATAAACCTTTGTTTCATGTTTTCCATTTCATTATCATGTGAAATGTGATCTGCTTCATTCTTCAAGATGACATTCCAGTGAATTTTCTCTTCAGTTATATCTAATCTGCTGTTCAATCTGTCCACACAGTTTTTTTTCAATTTAATGATGTTTTATTGATTTTTCAAGTTTCTAAAGTTCTTTCAATCATTTGCAAATATATTACTTTAATATAGTTCTTTCTTTTCTTATATTTAGAAATATAATATTTTCTAATACTTTTATTCTATAGCCTCTAACTTAGAATAATAATTCCTATCTGGAAGAGGCAGTCTAATATGTGTCGTATATGCTGATTCTCAAACATAGTTAAAACCTTGTGTTTGCATCATATTTATTCCAAGTTTTCTATGCATTCTAGTTTGTTAAATGTCCCTTCAATGCAATTCTATGTTTACCTATACCAGACACTCTGGAGTTAATACTAGCTCAAAACTAATTTATGTTTAGTTTTCAACTGGAAATATTCTCTTACCATGCTGGTAGCATAAAATTAGACTCAAAGCACATCTTTAAAAATGTACCCAGGGAAAGATAACTTTTTTGTTTCTCATATCTATTCTTAATCTTCCTCCAGTTCAAGACTGTTGTGCTATTTGTTCATGAATTTACTATGGACTTATTACTTCTTTTTTACTGGTGCCTGATGATTTTACCTACTTACTTACTAGATGCACTTTGAATCTTAAAAAGAAGTAATTTTAATTTTCTTATCATATTGAAGAGTTTTTAGTATCAGAATTATTCTATTGGCTGAGGCTGGGGATATAGTTCAGTTGGTACAGTGCTTGCCTCACATGCATAAGACCCTAGGTTCAATCCCCAGCACCACAAAAAAAAAAAAAAGAACAAACTCTGGAAAATACAGGGAAGAGATATCTGTGGCTATGTTTTTCTGTCTCTGTATAGAATACAGAAATAGACACAGGAAGCACAATACTCACCACTTCCTCTCCTTCATGAATATATCTGGATTGAGAATGGCAGTGAGGGCAGAAGTAGAACTGTCAAGTAAGAAAGTACATGTTTTTCTACAATCTTACTAGACATTTCTGCCTCTGCCCTCACTGCCATTCTCAATCCAGATATATTCATGAAGGCTGAGAACAAACTCACAGAGTGGTTTATTTGTATATAAGCAGTGGTTAGATGGACCAAAGGGTCTGCCAGATGAATTATCAAAAGTGGGAATACTGCTCCTTTTCCAACAAGAATCTCAAATATAAATGTTTCATCATTTCCAAAGTATAAATAACTACAGTACCTTTCTTGTAGAGTAGTGCTCAATGGTAATGGAAAAAATATCAAGTACCCAATATATAATAGGGACCAACCAATCACCACTAGAAATAAAAAAAATCAATCCAAAGTATCCCATTGCTTATAGGTGAACACTATAGTAAAAGTAAAGCACTGCCCATTGTGTATAACATAAAACACTTAATAAATATAAAATATTATTTTTTTTTGAGAGAGAGAGAGAGAGAGAGAATTTTTCAATATTTATTTTTTAGTTTTTGGCAGACACAACATCTTTGTTTGTATGTGGTGCTGAGGATGGAACCCGGGCCACACCAATGCCAGGTGAGCGCACTACCGCTTGAGCCACATCCCCAGCCCATAAAATATTATTATTAGCCAATTTTGAAAGTTTAAATTATATTTGAAGTCACAGAGGTAAGAATTTGAATCTAAAGTTAGATAAAATCAAATAAAARCAACTTGGAAACAAAGAAAGAAGGAAGAAGACCTGCATGGATACCTCCAAACAAATGACTAAAGTTCTCATCTCACTTTTATTACTTGGCAGGTACATAGGACAAGGGAGTTTATGTAGGCCCAGAGAATAAAAGTAAGGTCAGCAATATCCAGGAAGATAATTGACTCACCCAGTGTCAAACAGTAATTCAAGTACACAGTCAGAAGAACAAGTTAGGTTTTCTAATTTTTATTCTACCATAACAAAATATCCCTATAACATAATAATTACTTATATTGATATGGATTTTTATTTTGACAGTTTCCAAAACATTTTGACATGCATTATCTCATTTTCAGTGATATCAATGAATAAACAAACAGATGTGCTAGCCTTCAGAGGGAAAATAAAATCAGGAATACAGCTGGATTTCAAATCAACTTTGGGATGATCCAAATTTAAAGAATGTGTTGTTTTTAATGCCACAGTTCAAGAACCAAGCAAGTCCAATATAGACCAATGCAAATATGTCAGATTCAGTGCAGATAGTTGCCATGGTAATCTCCATATGATGGATGGATGGATGGCTAGATTAAATTTTTTTGAGCTTCTGAAAACAAAAATACAAGCAAAAATTGCTTCAAATCATTTCTCACAAAAGAATCTTTTTCCTAGTGATATGGCACATCAGATAAAACCTATGTATAACTATGGATTCATCAATTAAAACTTGGACTTGGCATATTGTTTTTATGGAATGTAAAATGTAAGTCAGAAAATATAGTGATTAAGAACCTAGAATCTGGAATGTTCCATTCCCTTCTACCTGTGAGCCCTTCAGCAAGTTCTATGATTAAACCTCATCACACCTCTATTCCAATTATAAAATGGATATATAACAGAACATATTTCATAAGGTTGCTGTGTGAATTGACTTTGATGTATATTAATGAGCATAGAACACAATACATTCTCAACAGCAGTTCTACTATTGTATTCCTCACTCTCTCTTAWAATTCCAGGTAAATTTTAAAAGGATTTAAAAAATTTTTATATTGGTGCTGTAGCAAGGGCCTTTTTGATTGAATGCTATAGTTAGTAATATGATCATGAACAATTGGCATTCATCAATTGACATTGATTCATAGCTCACTAATGTCAAAGTCTATCTGTGTAACTCTCTACCTATACCTGGATCTGCTTTAACTCCAGACATTCAAGAAAAGGGAGAAGGCGGAAAGGAGAAGAGTTGCTCCAGAAACTTTTTCCCACTTGATTAAGAAAACAAAGACGTTCCTAGAAATCCCCAACAGTCTTCCACTTATGTTTCATTGGCCAGAACGTTTGTCACTTAGCCAGCCCTAGCTACAATGAAGGCTGGGGGACCTAGAATTTAGCCAGGCATACTGCCATCCTGTTCAAAATTGGGATTCTGTTGGCAAGGAAGAAGGAGGAATGGATAGTGTTTGCCACAGGTGCATAGGGAGCTTACACATCTGATAGAAAGGATTCATTTGGTAGCAATTCCTTGAACACTTTGAGAATAAAATGAACTGTGTAATGCCTAAGCAGTTTTAGCTGCCAATGAAAGTATATATTTTGCCTTATCCTCTTTTCTGAATTTATTCCCTCTGTGCTTAGTACTCTCATTCTTCCTATAATCAAAATTTAGAAATTATTGTATGTAGGTTAATGTGGCCACATTGTCATGGAAGGCAATTATTGCTAGGTTGCTGTGATACCACTGCAGGTGTATGTAGAAGTATCAGGAATAAAAATATAAAATACTTGCTTATAGCCTCCCGTTGCTTTGCTCCTGAATTCACATACCTACTTTGTCTCTACAATGTACAAAATCAAAAGAGTGCAGGTGCTCAGCCTGATTGAATTGCACCCACTTCCCTCTATTCTACTACAATTCGTATTCAGAAGAGTGGTTACAGCAGATATGATGGAAGGGAATGCTTCCTAATTATGGAGATTTGTCGTTGGTGTTGGAAGWTATTTTTTGTATTATTTACACTATTCTGTCTGGTGGTAATATTTCTGTCTGCCAGTGACAATTACATTGCTCTTGACTGGCGCAGATCAGCAGTTTGTGATAGCTCTGAAAAGCTGGTGTATAGCACATGTCACTGGCAGACATATTAATGTTGGCGAAGAGAAGTGCATGTGATGTAACACGATTAGATGGTGCTAAGATAAAAGACCATTTCAAAGCCCATGAATAACCAAGAAGCAGCAAGGTGACAACTATCAATTATTTATTGCCCTTGTCCGTATATTATTAACAGCTTCAGGAAAGCATACGGTCTCCCTTTCCTGCTCTCTCTCTCCCTTGTGTTAAAGCTCAGCTCCTCCGCTTATGGAGATTGCATCCTAAGGGAGACATTGTGCTCTCAGCTATCATTAGACAATCCAGAGAAAAAAGTCAAATGACCTCAAGGCAAACTACATTCAACTTTGTTGGCTATCAGAAAAGAAGCATCGCTTGTTCCCTGCTCTCTACAGGAGATTCCTCTTATCACTTTCTCCTTCAGAGGCTCCTTTTTCACTCCTGGTTCCTCT